GCCTGGCTAATTTTTTATTTGTAGTAGAGATGGGGTTTCACCATGTTGGCCAGGTTGGTCTTGAACTGTTGACCTCAGGTGATCTGCCTGCCTCGGCCTCCCATGGTACTGGGAGTAAGTCAGTGCCTGACCCCAAATCCTCAGGATTTTAGAGCATTGTCAATCCCCTTACTCTGTTGGCCGCCTCAGAAAACCAAGAAACTGGAATTTACTTGTTCCAGGTCTATCAGGGGCTGAGCCTAGGTACACAGCTGCTTATATAATATGTAACATTTATGTATATGTTAATATTTATAATGCATATATATGTTTTGAGACAGGATCTCACTTTGTCTCCCAGGCTGCAGGCTGCTAATTAAAACAATTTTTTTAATAGATACAAATTCTTGCTACATTGCCTAGGCTGGGCTTGAACTCCTGGCCTCAAGTGATCCCTCCCCCACTTCAACCTCCCAGAGTGCTGGGATTAGGCATGAGCTCCTGTGCCCAGCCTGCGGCTTATTACTGTCATTACTGATCATCATGGTTTACTGTAGAAGCATAAAAGGGAAAGTTAAGAATCATTGATGGGCACACTAAATTGTACCCAACATATTAATCTGTAGGTTCTTCTAGGCAGGGCATGGTGGTTTATATCTGTAACTCCTGAACTTTGGGAGGCCGAGGAAGGCAGATCACATGAGGCCAGGAGTTCAAGACCAGACTAGGCAACATGGCAAAATCCTGTATCTACTAAAAATACAAAAATTAGCTGGCTGTGGTGGTGTGTACCTGTAGCCTCAGCTACTCAAGATGCTGAGGCAGGAAAATCGCTTGAACTGGAAGGCAGTGAGTTGAGATTGTGCCACTGCACTCCAGCCTGGACCACAGAGCAAGACCCTGTCTCAAAAAAATGTTCTTCTGATTTTTTTTCTCTATCACATATACCATTTAAAAAATAGGGATGTATGGAGGTATGATTCATGTATCATAAAATTCACCATTTTGGTGGGTTTTAGCATATTCACAGAATTGAATGACTGTGAGTACTATCTACTTTGGAATATTTTTGTCACTCCAGTCCCAAACCCTGTAGCAGTCACTGACTGTTTCTCCTCTCTCTAGCCCCTAACAAACATGAATCTACTTTCTGTCTTTTTGAATTTGCCAAATTTGGACACTTCATATAAATGTAATTATACAGGCTGGGTGTGGTGGCTCATGCCTGTAATTCTGGCACTTTGGGAGGCCAAGGTGGGCAGATCACTGAGGCCAGAAGTTCAAGAGCAGCCTGGACAACATGGTGAAACCTCATCTTTACTAAAAACACAAAAATTAGCCAGGTTTGGTGTATGCCTGTAATCCTAGCTACTTGGGAGACTGAGGCAAGAGAATTGCTTGAACCCAGGACGCAGAGCTTGCAGTGAGCCAAGACTGCACCACTGCACTCCAGCCTGGGTGGCAGAGCGAGAGTCCGTCTCAAAAATATAATAATAATAATATAATATGTGGCTTTTTGTGTTTGGCTTATTTCACTTAGCATAACATTTTTAAGGTTCATTTATATTGCAGAATGAATCGGTACTTCAACATTTTTATTGATTAATAATCCTTTTATTCATCATTTGGTAGACAGTTGAGTTGTTTATACTTTATTATGAATAGTGCTGCTGTGAACATTCAGTTGTGTATGAGTTTTTGTGTGGATGTGTACATTCTTCCCTCTTGGGTATATACCTAGGACTGAAATAGCTGGATCATACGTGAATTCTGTGGGTTAACATTTTGAGGAATTGCCGAGCTGTTTTTCAAATAAGTGGCCCCGTTTTACAATCCTACCAGCAATATAGTAGCATTCATATTTCTCCACATCTTTGCCACCATTTATTGTTTATCCTTTTTATTTTGTCAGCCTGGTAAGACTAACGGTGCTGAACATCTTTTCATGTGCTTATTGGCCATATGTGTTTTGGAGAAATGTCTCTCCAGATTCTTTGCCTGTTGTTTAATTGGGTTGTCTTTATTGAGTTGGAAGAGTTATTTATGTATTATAAACCAGAGTCCCTTTATCAGATACAGGATTTGCAGATATTTTCTCCTATTCTGTGAGTTGTCTTTTAGAGATACCCTTTGAAGCATTACTAATTGTAGTTCTGTAAGGAACAAATATGAATTTTGTATCAGGCTACATTTTTTGTCTGTTTTTATATTGTATTGTTGTTGGTGTCATTCATGAAAGACTTAGCAGCATTTTATTGGTTAAAGTTAACTTTAATTTTGAGGAAGACCAGTTTCTCTTTTTTTGTGGGGGTGGGGGTTGGTCACTTATGCTGTTGGTGTCCTATCCAAGAAACCATTGCCAAACCTAGGGTCATGGATATTTGTTCCTGTGTTTCAAGAATTTTACAGTGTTAGCAACTACACTTAGGTCTATGGTCCATTTTGAGTTAATTTTTGAGGTCTTCCTAATTACTGTTATTAAAAGTAATCTTTAGTTAGGGTTATTGAAGTATAAAGCTAAAAAAATAGCCTTGATTTTTCTAAAAGGGATTGTGACACTCAGCTCTGTCCCATTAAAATTACTAGTCACAGGATGCTAAAATTATAGGTTTAGTTTTTTAAGGGAATAAATGCCTCAATTGCAAATTAATTTTACTCTGAAATTGAGCTGACTACTAAGACGAGATTCAGTTTAAGAAGTGTTTTGACATTGCCCCCAGTGAGCAATCTGAGAAGCACATACAGCAAAAATAAGAAAGCATTCGTGTGGGCTGCTTCATAGGGTTTTTTTTTTTTAAGTGTTTAACATTATGAGAAACACTTAAAAGTATGCAACTTGGTTGTCTGCCCATACATATATATGTTTGGATGTGTAAATGGAATTTCTGTAGTTTTAGTCAGGGAGTAAGTGATGTTATCTTCTCAGGTTTCTAATAATTCCCTCTTTTTAAAAATGAATAAAATAACATATACCTCATGGGGTTCTGGTGAGGATTAGAAAAGTTTATTAAAAGGCTTGGAATAAACCTGGCACTTAGTAAACGCGTATAAAATGCTTATTATTAAATATTCCACTTATTTATCTTGCTATTTCCAGTACATTTTAAGTACCAGCATAATCAGTACTTCTCACTTAATGCTAAATACTACTATATTTTTGAATTATTGCATAAATATGTTAATTATGATTTTTGCATACAGTAACAGAATAATAAACAGTTCTCATGAATAACTTAAGTCTAATAATGTTTTTATTGTTTTATAACACATTTTTCATTTAGTTATAATTACCTAAATTCAGAAAAGCAATTGTAGAACTGGGTAGCAGCATGTTTTGGTGTGTTGAGTTACTTGGCCTTAATCTCAATACTTTAACCAGTGAAGTGATGCTAGATCTTCTGTGAATTGCACTCAAAATAAAAAACAAAACCAAATGGGCAAAAATACAATCTGGTATAAGATTTACATTTGTTCCTGAGAAAGAATCTAAGGTATTTTTCTTTTTTTTTTTTGGAGACAGTCTGTTTCCGTTACTCAGGCTGGAATACGGTGGCACCATCATAGCTCATTGCAGCCTTGAACTACTGGGTTCAAGTGATCCTCCTGCTTCAGCCTCTAGAATACAAGAATTACAGATGCAAGCCACCAGGCCCTGCTAAGTTTTGTATTTTTTGTAGGGATGGGGTCTCACTATGTTGGCTGGGCTGGTCTCAAACTCCTGGCCTCAAGCAATCCTCCTGCCTTGGCCTCCCAAAGTGGTGGGATTAAAAGTGTGAGCCACCGTATCTGGCCAGGTGTTCTCTTCTCCCAGACCAGACAGGAAAAAAGTTCTGAATTTGAAAGGGAAACTCATGGAGCATTGTCAAGATGGCTTTAGGCCAGGTGTGAGTCAGTTTTTCTAGGTTGGAGTTCAAGGAGTTCCCTTGGGAAGCAAAGAGGGTTTGTTTGTATGGGTGACCTGTGGAAGGAGTGAATCCACCTAGTGGAAGGTTCAGGATGACAAGCCCCTCGGCATCCAGGTAGAAAAGACCACTAGGCATCAGCGTGAGAAGGAGGGTCATGAAGTTTACATTTGAGAGGAGGAGAAGGATTGGAGGACAGTCAGGCTGCAAAGGTAGCTTGAGTCCAGTTTTGATTTCATTCTACATCTTCCTCTATTCTACAAGCAGTCAAAGAGATTTGCCAATGAATGTACTTACGCAGCATGGAGCAGCGAAATAGATTTAATACACAGTCCTCACTGTCTTACAGGTTTTCAATTTTACTGCTCTGCTTCCTGGATTCTAAGAAATAGTTTAGCTTGTTTTACCATCACTTTTTAGACATTCTGTGATTTCTCTCTGACCTATTGTTTCCAAAGCAACAGACTGTGGCTAGTCAAAATACGATTTCACTCTTGTTTGTAGAGCTCTGTAGTAATTAGGAAACGATTCGAAGCTCCATTTCAAATGCGGGCTGGTAATGCAATGATGGCATTGGATGTTTCTCAGTGAAGACTAAGGTGCTCCAAAAGCATGGCAGCAAAATACTAAATGTTGTGAGAGAGATGGCGATCTCTTCCTCTGTTTACCTCCATTATGGAAAACTTTTCGATGTGGATTAACTTTGCAGGGGTGGAGCAGGGCACGGCAAGGAAGGTTATCCTGGGGGAGCTGCTTCTGTGGAGAAAACCTGGTATTTTGCCAGGCCTTGGCCTTCAGGGTGACCATAGGGCTGAGCCATATTGTAGTCGAGAGAGACCCATTAGTCTTGTGATCTCTACTGGGGGGCAGTGCACTAAAGGGCTTTCAGTTTTGAGTAAAGAGATAGCCATTAAATATTGGCTTCTGCTCTTGCCATTTATTTATTTATTTAGACTGAGTCTCACTCTGTTGCCCAGGCTGGACAACAGTGGTGCAATCTCAGCTCGCTGCAACCTTCGCCTCCCAGTCTCGAGCAATGCTTGTGCCTCAGCCTCCGGAGCAACTGGGACTACAGGCATGTGCCACCACGCCTGGCTATTTTTTTTTTTTGATATACCAAGGTAATAAATGCTGTTTATGACTTCTTTAAATTTACATAGTACTGTAGCATATTAATACCCTGTGAACTACAAAAAAAAACAAATATATTTATAGTAGTATTGGTCACCAAAATAGAGGGGAAACTTTACAGTTGTGAGAATATGCAGATATTCTCATTAAGGCAGTATTGACCAGACAACCATTTAGTATCTGTCCCCTCAAATGCCTCATAATTCTGGAATGCCCATTGTGAAATATGTCAGTGCACAGTGTCTCCTAAATTCTCACACGTGCTTGATTTTCCGATTCATCTGGTGAACTGGGAGTATTGGTCATAGACAATGTGCCCTCCTTCCCTTGTCTGACCAAAACTTGAAGCAATCACATCCACTGCCAGGTTAGCTGTAGTCTTTGCCTCTTTCTCTGAGGTGGCTAACTGAGGATTGACTTCAACAAGATCCAGTGCCGACAACAACCCTGTATTGTGTATTTCCTCAGCAATATACATGCCTTCTCGATAGGTTAGTCCTCCTACCACAAGAGTTCCTGGGGCTGGAGCCAATGTAGGGTCAAATGCATCAATATCAAAACTCAGATGGATTGGTCTTTGTCTCTTGCCAATCAGCAGATCAAATGTTTTTTCCATGACCTTCTGGATACTGAGTTGATCAATATCTCTCATGGAAAATTACTGGATATCATAGTTCTTTAAAATAAAATGTTCAGGAGGATCCACGTCTCTTAGACCAATATACACAATACTTGGGGAAGAGATACAAGGTTTGATCCAAGAAAATCCTGGGAGTTGTGGTATCTTGTCCTGTAGTTCTCTGAGGAGAAATGAAACTGGCTGTCCATGGAGATTTCCTGATGAAGTGGTAAGGGGTGTGTTGATGTCAGCATGGGCATCAACCCAGATAATGCAAAAGTCTGGGCAGTGTCGGGCATGACCACTAATGGTACCGATTGCCAGGCTGTGGTCTCCTCCCAATGTGACACAGCTGTAGCCATCTGACACAGCTCTACTAACCACCTCAGCCAGTTCCTGGTTGGCAAGACCCACTGAGCATGGATTCACTATTACGTTGTTGTAGAGATCATCTTTGGGAACTGCAGTAAAACTCAAATCTCCAAAGTCTTTTAGGTGGCAGCCCAAACTGGAGAGCCTTTTCATCAGGCCAGCTTCTCTTATGGCAGTGGGACCATGCTCCACTCCTTTTCTTTTCTGCCCTTGTGAGAATGGGGCTCCTATGACAGCCACGGAGTGGATGGATTTCTTCAGGATGGAATGCACTCGCATCTGGAGGAGACGCGAGAGACTGCCCCTTAAGGACATGATCTGCAGCACTGAGAATCTCCAAGGCAGAGGCCGCTGCTCAGCGTGGCTGGAAGCCGGGAATCGCCTGGCTAATTTTTGTATTTTTAAGTAGAGATGGGGTTTCACCATGACAGCCAGGCTGGTCTCGAACTCCTGACCTCAAGTGATCTGCCTGCTTCAACTTCCCAAAGTGCTAGGGGATTACAGGCATGAACCACTGTACCCGCTGCCATTTATTTTTATTTTGAAAAATATATATGAAATAATAAAACCGAAAAAATAGGAGAGAAAAAAAGTAACTTAAACATACTAGTTCTCAATCAGGGATGATTTTGCTTCCCAGAAGACATTTGACAGTGTCTGGAGACATTTTTTATTGTTATACTGGGGTGGGAGGGTTGCTACTGGCATCTAGTGGGTAGAGGATAGAGATGCTGCTCACCATCCTGTCTGTACTGGACAGACCCCCACCCCCACCCCACCCCCACCCCTACCAACAATAGTGATCCAGCCCAAAATGCCAGTAGTGCCAAGCCTAAGAAATACTGTGGTAATTCACCCCTAACATATAATAATCCCACCCCTATTTGCGTTATGATGGTGTATTTTCTTTATTTTATTTACACATTATATATAACAGTGTACATATTTTTTTGTGGGTGTCTTGTTCTCTTCATTGAACATTATATTCTAATTTAAAGAGTAGTTATGTAATTTTCAAAATTTTTGCAACTCATGTTTCTTTCCTATATGACATATATTCTAATTTACTGCTATTGTGAATGACCTGTAATGAATACCTTTGTGTATCTGGCGTTTTTTTTTTTTCTAGTTCTTTCTTTCTTTTTTTTTTTTTTTTTTGAGAGAAGGAAAGAAAAAAAGGAGTGAAAGAGAGGAAGAAAAAGAGTGGGAGAGAAGGGAAATGTTGCTTTATTCTAAAAAAAAATGGGTATTAATAATGGCCAATCAATGTTTCATTTAAACCTATGAGTAGGTGTGATGTGTTATTGACAAGAATGTATATTTTGTGTATTTAAAGTGGAGAGCTCTATAAATATTTATTAAGTTTACTTGTTCTGGATCTGAGTTCGAGTCCTTGATATCCTTATTAATTTTCTGTCTCATTGAGTCTAAGTCTCTATGTATCTGGGTGTTGGATCATTGGCTCGTATTGTTGCATTGATCCTTTTACCACTGTATCTTTGTTGCTTTAAAATCTATTTTATCAGATACGAGAATTGCAACTCCTGCTTTTAATTAATTAATTTATTTTTGCTCTCCATTTGGTTGGGAAATCTTTCTCCATCCCTTTGTTTTGAGTCTTTGTGTATCCTTGCATGTGAAATGGGTCTGGATGTAGCATACCATTGGGTTTTGGCTGTATCTTTTGATTGGGGGATTTAGTTGACTTAAATTTAGGATTACTGCCATTTGATGTTAACTGGCTGTTTTATCCATTGGTTGATGTAAATTCTTCTTTATGTTGATGCTCTTTACTTTTTGGTATATTTTTAGAAAGGCTAATACTGGTTGTTTCTTTCTAAGTGTAATGCTTCTTTCAGAAGCTCTTGTAAAGCAGGCCTGGTGATAATACAATCTCTGAGTACTTGCTTGTTCATAAAAGATTTTATTTTTCCTTCAGTTGTGAAACTTAGTTTGGCTGGATATGAAATTCTGGGCTGAAAGTTCTGTTCTTTAAGGATGTTGAATATTGGCCCGCCACTCTCTTCTGGCTTGTAGAGTTTCTGCTGAGAGATCTGCTGTAAGTCTGATAGGCTCCCCTTTGTGGGTAACCTGACCTTTCTTTCTGGCTGCCCTTAGTAATTTCTCCTTCATTTCAACCCTGGTGAATCTAATGATTATGTGCCTTGGGGTTGCTCTTCTTGAGGAATATCTTTGTGGTGTGCTCTGTATTACCTGGGGTTGAATATTGTCCTGCTTTGCTAGTTTAGGAAAATTTTCCTGAAGGGTATTTTCCAGCTTGGATTCATTCTCTCCGTTGCATTCAGGTACACCTATCAAACGTAAATTTGGTCTTTTCACATAGTCCCACATTTCTTGGAGACTTTGCTCATTCCTTTTTATCCTTTTTTCTCTAATCTTATCTTCTCATTTTATTTCATTAAGTTGGACTTTGACCTCTGATATCCTTTCTTCTGCTTGAACAATTTGAGTGTTTAAACCTGTGCATACTTCTCAGAGTTCCCGTATTGTGTTCTTCAGTTCCATTAATTCACTTATATTCCTCTCTAAGTTGTCTATTCTCATTAGGATTTCGTCAAACCTTTTTTCAAAGTTCTTAGTTTCTTTACGTTGGGCTACAACATGTTCTTTTAACTCACAGAAGTTTCTTATTATCCATCTTCTGAAGCCTGATTCTGTTAATGGTATGTGCTTGTTCTCCATCGAGCCTTGTTCCCTTGTTGATGAGGAACTGTGATCCTCTTTAGGGGGAGAGGCATTCTGATTTTGAGTATTCTCAGCCTTTTTACTCTGGTTTCTTCCCATCATTGTAAATTTATCCACCTGTCGTCTTTGTAATTACCAACTTTCAAATTAGGTCTCTGAGTGGACGTCCAAATTGTTAATTCCCAGGGCTGAAATATGAGCAACCCACTGCGCCGGCCAAAACAGCGGCGTTAAGACTGATGGTGTTTTCCTGCCCGGGAATCTCCAGTCTGGCTTCCTTCTTCAGTCCGTAATAGGCAACTCTGCCTTCCTGGAGCTCCAAACCTGGGTCAGAAGGGGAACCAGTCTCGTTTACTCGGCACCAAGAGCTGCCGCACCGAGGTGCCGGCACAACCGCTGTGCCGGCCACAAGAGTCGCACTGGTGACCCGTGTGGCTCCTCCAAACCTCGGTCAGAAGGGAACCAGTCCCGTTTACTCTACACTGAGAGCTGCCGTGCCGAGGTGCCGACGAAACTGCTGCGCCAGCCACGAGAGTCGTGCTGGCGACCCGTGGAGCTCCTCCACTGGGAATCTTCTGCTCCGTGAGCGACCAAAATTTGTCTGAAAGTGTGGCGTCCTCTCGTTGAGCTTTCACTGGGAGCTGCAATCCCGAGATGTTAGTGATCGGCCATCTTGGATCGTTCCTCTAGTTATATATTAAGGGTAGCATTTGTAAGTGACGAATATTTCCAAGTTGCTTTCCAAAGGCATGGTACTAATTTCAATGTCATCAGCAGTTTATAGACTTCCTGTTTGCCTGTGTTTTTACCTGCATAAAGCATAAAGTTATGGGGGAAAAACTTTTTTTTGGGCTAATTCAATAAGGCAAAATGTGGTATGTCTTATAAAGTGCTTTTCTTTGTGAGAGAAACATTGTCCTGATCATTGTCACAACCCTCGGAAGTCATGATAAAACCATCTGTTTCTGTTTAACAAAGGTTATGAGAGTTATTCTATGTCAGTAGAATGATGCCTATTTGTAGTTACTACAAATAGTTTATTAAGATAAATTGTGATAGTTTCAACTTTTTTGGAGTACTTTTAAAAGAACCAGATTCACTCAAATCATCATGGAAAATCCTGTTAAACTCTAAGAAAATTGTCCGGGAGGCCGAAGTGGGTGGATCAGTTGAGGTCAGAAGTTCGAAACCAGCCAGGCCAACATGGTGAAACCCCATCTCTACTAAAAATACAAAAATTAGCCGAGCGTGGTAGCACATGCCTGTAATCCCAGATACTTGGGAGGCTGATGCAGGAGAGTCGCTTGAACCTGGGAGGCAGAGGTTGTAGTGAGCCAAGATTGTGCCACTGCACTCCAGCCTGGGTCAAAGAGCAAGACTCTGTCTCAAAAAAAAAAGAATTGTTTTTGGTGAAGCCATTAAGAGCGTAGTTAAAATATATTTAGGTGTGCTAGGATTCCATTGCGCTTTCCTATTGTTTATGAATTGTTTGTGTATTTAATGGGATACCTAGCACTCTTTGGCATTTCATATATGTAATGAATATATGCTTGACACATGGAATGGTCAGTGAATATGTATTAAATATGAATGAACAAACATCTGCTCGCACTTTAGGGCCAAGAGTATAATTTTCTGCTGTGATGATGACAGCTATAGGAGAGTGTGACCTTTTGATGTACTGTTGGTCCTGATTATAGTTTTCCTTGACCTTGAAGGCTTGATGAGGAATAAAATCTCCAATTATATCACTTTTCAGTGGTAAACCTATTTTATGGAATAGCGATTTGTCTTGCAACAGGGTTTTGGAAACTCATTAAAAACAGGGATTTTCTTTTACATTTCCTAACTGAATTACAAATATGGAAAGCTGTGGATAAAAATTATCTCTCTAACTTTTGAAGATTTGCTGCTTTTCTGAATAAAACATTTTCTTCTATTTTCATATCCTGTTTTCCAAATTTTTATTCTCTCTTAGAACCATTCCAACTTATACAAATACATTTCTTTAAATATTTGCATTTGAAAATGATTCCCTTCTCTGGTTCTTCTAACATCTTCAGTGACTATTTTAGTTACTAGAATGCGTCAGTAAACTCCTGAACGGGGGTTTTGAGATCTCTGCCTTTCTCTTCTTTGACTTTAAAAGCTTCTTCTTGCACAGTAGTGGATCTTTCTGAATTATGTAGCAGTTTTGCTTTATCCAGGACTGGGTTGGGTGGTTGTGTGATACATTGTGGGCTTGGACAGCAGGCGTGGACCAGGACTGTCCCTGGCTGGCACTGTGTGGGGCTCAGTTCCTTCCTTCCCTTGTCTCGCATTACTTACTGGAACATTTGCCTCTTTCTGTCCTCTCAGCCCGTCAACCTAGAGTTGAGTGGGAAAGAGTGTATTGAATCAAGTATTTAAATTGCTCTGATGGTTTTCTATGTGAAGTACAGGGAATTTGAAGGCAGTTGACTTTTTGTCACTTTCGTGGGAATCAAGAGCCTCAATTGGTAGCCTGGGATTAGTCAGTTCTAAATCATCCCCACATAGATGTGGCATGATTTTGGTCGTGTTATTTTACATGGCATTGCCCTTCTCCTCCAGCCAAAATATTTCTAATATAAAGCCCATGGTTCTAGCCTCTCTCTCT